ACGCTTCTGATTATCAAGCGATGAGGAGTTTCGTTCGTTGGCTGTCTACTCCTAGTGTAAAACAGATTATAGTGATTGGATTTCATTAGGGATTCCATGTTTTTTCTCTGGAAGGAGAACATAGAAAACTAATAGGAAACACACTTGGACTTCTTCAGAAGCGAAAGTACAGGAAATACATCCACTTGTGGTGCAACCATGAAAGAAATTAAAGCAGCAGAAGCAACCGTGCGACTTTTCTGAAACCTCAATTGCGCATTTGAAGAATTTAGAGAGGAGTAAAACAAACCAATGCACATAAATTACGAAGCCGCTGAGAATTGATTTCCATTCTCGGAATCATCGATTACAGAGCAACTGAATGTCTTAGTATTGCGCTGTCCCAAAGCCTCGTCAGGACCTAAATGTTGTATAACACAAAGAGGCACCAAATTTATTCCATTTGTTTCTTTTGAAATAAATCTATGTGTTATATAACATTTAGAGCAACTGAATATCGATAGAAGGGCAAGGATTTGAAAAAAAAAGCTGACCATTACCTCTTGTTTGTTCGACTCCTCCTGTCATAGTAAGCCATTAATCGACTGTACATAAAGAGGTTGCACAAAAGCATGAAGCATTCCATTTGTAGAAAAGGATGGCATTCTTCATGAGTTTTCAGTCCCCGTAGCTTCCATATGCGGACCAAGACTATCTAATGATAAATTTTATTTGGTTTACTAATAATAATATCAAGTTTTGAGAATGGATTCACATATTCAGTGTCTGCTAGTCTGAAGTATTTCAGAGTAACCGGTACCAAAATCAAAACGTTTTCTGTTTAATCTTCACTAAAAATGCTATACCGCGTATTTTTATTTGGCCGGAACCCCTTTTTCACGAGGTCTCATAGACTTATGAAGGTGAAACGGAAATCAGCAATATTGTTCGAGCTGAAGATCACTAAACAGTATCAGGAGCACCATCCCTTTGATGACTTGCCTTCATTCAAAAGTGGCAGAATTGCACTGACTTGAAGGGGAAATATTTTGAGAGGTCATGTTGTTCTTGCAATTATTATACATTGAATTACCTCTGATCAACGAGTATCACAGTTTTAGATTCTGTTCCAAAACTTAGTCAGGGGGCGACCAATTTGCCTTTGGGTTGTTTTGAAAAACAACCTCACGGATAAGTGGTCCTAAATCATCACAAATCGAAGCTTTGTCAAGTCGTAGAAAAATGCAAATCACATCAGTGCAGCATTATACATGATGATAGCGCATGTGTGTGCTTCAGGAATCCATTGAAATTTATATAGAGAATTGGTTTCCATTCTTGGTGATTTTGTCGTTCAGGAGACTGAAACTTTCTTGCGGATAACTTCTATCGAGGCTTGTTCAACGTTGCCATTGTTGCGTGGTTGACAAGTTTTTCAGTCATTGTGTTATTTCATAGTTATGATATGTGCGACGGAGGCATTGTTATGACCTTCTTGCTAACGCTACAAACAATCAGCACCATTCATTGACAGAAAAAGAAGACAAGCGGCATTGTTCGCATTGTTTTTTAACTTCTTTATGTGTTCATGAAGGTCTAGAGCTGTTCTATTCGAATGCTCACCGTTGATCGATTATTTATGTACCATTTAGTTAAGATAACTGTGTTGCAGTGTGTGTAGTACCTTCTGGAAAACCATTAGAAAGTTCAAACTAAAGGTTTGTATCCAGATAATCAATTGGGGGTATGCTCATTCTTCTCAGTATCTTTTATCAAAATTATTTCAGAATGATGACTATGTTGCTGTTTCAAGGCAGGCCATTGAAGGATATATCGGTGAGTAGATGCACTTGTTACCTTCAAAGTTTTACTCTCCAAATATTGAGCTGAGGTTCATAGCTTGTGATATCGTGAAGGCTGCGAATCGCATGTTTCCTAAGTTTTTCAAGATTCTGTTATTTCTAATTGGGCAGCTAAAACGAACTGATGTCTGATTGGTTTCAGATTTGCACGCGGTCGCATTTCACAATGTTACAAGCTTGCTGACGTTACCTTTTTGTTTAATGACACGATTTCTAGTCGGATTCGAACCACTTGCGAATGCCGATAGGATCCATCACATACTGCTGTTTGGGTGTACAGAACCTGCCCATGCTACTGGTTTTTGGAAAGGTGGTGAAGTTTGTTCCGGAACAACGCACATACTGTTACGCTTGGGCTAAAAATGGTAAGTTCCTGACATTTGAGTTAGCTCCAAACTTTTTGAACAAGTAAGGGTGAAAAAAAGCCTATGTTATTCCGATAGATGTTGATTCAATGACACTGGAATTCATTCACCGGCTTCCTTCGATTTCCAAAATATCATGACTTCTTCCCATATGTTTTTAATTTGAGCTAAAAAGCTAATTCAAATTCTTTAGCGTAAATTAAAAATATCGATTTAAAATATCGAATCGAATTATCGAATCAATCAAATCAAGCTCGGAAGTGAAGAGCTAGATCCTAGATTGTAGTTTCAGGTCTAGTTATGTCACTACGTCACAAAGTCGGTGCGGCTATACTTAACACCAGATGTCCCTCATTTAGTCTTATAGTCTTCAATAAAACATCGGCGTTGTTGTGAATTCTATTTCTTCTCTGCCAACCAGGTTTTTAGATGGGAAACTTCAATAATAGCTGGACGTTTTGACCAGATCATTTTCGTCTCACCCTTGAACCCTACGTTCGAGACTTTCGAAGAAGGTGATCTGGTCCAGGTGTCAGGCCATTCATTGAGTGTCCACGGAAAACTTGAACACGTCAGCAGAATTTATTCGATGTTATCTTTCAAATCAACGAAGAATCCAATTGATCAATCACTTCTTTCCCTATTTTTCACTCTTTGGAAGCTGTAGCGCTGAACCCTGGTTCCGTGAAGTATGACCGTTTCCAACGGATTCCACCATCACCACGCGACTAACGATAAAAATTTCATCCGAACCGCGAAACAGCAATTGATATCGAAAGAAACGGCAATCATACAATGAAAACCAAAAAACAAGATCAGGAGAGTGGGTGGAGTCGCTCGGGCCTTGGCGACGACGCTGATGAGGCGTATATGTAAGTTCGGAGTAGAAGAGCGCGATTCCGGCTGCCCTTCATGGGCTACTAAAGACAAGAAGAACATCGAGAGACGCGCTCCTTGCTCCTTTATTTAACCCAGTTCTTCGCCGAAAACTGCGCGCCTCTGGCGGTTTTGACGCCACGAAGTTATACGAACGGGTTTGACCTCCCTCATGACAAAAAGCCTTAAAAATACAGTAGTACTACATGCTTACTTTGACAAAAACGTTAATGTGTGTAAAAGTCGTCTCATCAGTTAAGGTGACATTAATGAAAGAAGCTTTTTTGATTCTTCATTACTGTTTCATTCTATTTGCTCATTATTTCTGCGGTGAATTCTAGCACCTAGCCTCGATCTTCCAAATAACGTGGGCTTCAGCATCGGCCACGAAAGTGACAACATTCGTTATCTTGTAATGCAAGTACGTATTTGATTCATCTTATTCACTGTTATATTCTCTTCGCACATACTTTCTCAATTCTGTCTGGTGGTTTTAATTTCGCTTTCAACCTGAAGGAAATAATCATATGTGCAGGTGCACTACGCGCAGCCGTTTGCTGGGGATGTGAAGGATTTTTCTCTGGTGTCACTCTACATATTACTCAAAAGCAACCTCAAAACTTGGCTGCAGTGCTATTGTTCGTCTCAGGAGAGTCTATCCCGCCTGGAAAAAGTCAAGTTCAAGTAAGTCTCACTGGTCACCTCAGGATTCTTTGAAAGCATACAATTCCAAATTTTTTCTCTCTGTAGATCAATGTTAGCTGTGAATATGGTGGAACAACAGAGATGCATCCATTCGCTTTCCGTACCCACGCCCACGCCATGGGTCGTGTTATTTCTGCTTTTTATAAACATGAAGGGCAATGGACTAAAATAGGAGTAAGGAATCCTCAGTGGCCTCAGGTATTTTTGAAGCTCATTCGCCATCTTGCAACATGTTACTATATTTGTAAGTTTGGAAGTCTTGTTACAGCTCTTTGAAAAGATAACTACCAGTCCGGTTATAAGAAAAGGAGATTTGATGGCCGCGACATGTCGATTCGACTCGCACGACAAGACGAAGCCAGTTGCTATGGGGTGGGTTCAAGTGAAATTACTTCCGAATTCGTCTATTTTGCGTGGATGGTGGTTGTTCGATTACAGTATTAGACCAATTGTTTGAAGCAGCAACGCTTCGTCGAGGTCGTGTGGAAGGATCTTTCCCATGTATAGGATAAAGTTGCACACGTGGACTACAGTTGCGCCGTTGTCGCGGGTCAAAAGTGCGCGACAATGGCGTTAGTGCCTTATGAAGTGAGATAATGAGAGCAATTGTGGGCTAGTGGACGAGATACATCACGAAACGTGGATTACGTTATAGCGGATAACGTAGCGAATAAAGACATAGATATGACATTTGCATCGCATTGATGCGATTGTTTCAAAAGCTCGTCTAGACACGCCTTTTTCTCGCCGTCATTACTAATCGCTCTTACCCAACCAGTTTGGGGGATTTTGCTTTAATACTTAATTTGTGCATCCCAATGGGTAGAAAAGAGGAACATGCATCATCAGCGATAAGTCACATTTTCCAGTCGTCAAACATTTTTATTCCTAGTCCCTTCCCATGGTTGAGAGGAATGGCTGTTGGCCAGTTGTCAAGATACATGTCTCGAATGGGAGAGCGTTGTAATTAACTTGAAGACGGAATGCCAAAACAGTGAAATTGCGGTTGTGGAAGCAAAAATGCACTGCCATCAGTTGTTTTTGTTTTAGGCCGATAAAATCTTTAAAAAGAAGTGTTTGACGAATTTTATATAAGAAGTGTGTAGTTGTTTGCACTATGGGTCGAAGTATTGGATAAGAGCGTGCGCTACCGGGGTGTCAGTTCGCAAGTGTTTACACTGTCGGAACCTCCATCCACGGTCGGTGCTCCTTTCTACGGACATTCATTGGATGGAGAATCATCCTTTTCAAAACCAGGGATCAGGCAGTGGTAAATAATAGTAATCCGCGAGGTAGCGTGACGAATAAATAAATAAATGCGTGCAATAATAAGGTAAAACAGAAAGAATTTCGTACACGTTTCATCTTTCTCGCGCTTCGGCCAGGAGAAACTGCTGAGTTTTGATTTTGATTTTTCACGTAATCATAATTCACAAGGAAGCTTGCATGTTATCTCATGGTTAGCTTAGAATGTAAATCTAGAAAGTATTTTGTCTACCTGTGTACCTGTCTTACCGTTAGCCCTGTGCGGTAACCATTCGCGTTGTATTTCCGGTATCATTGTTTCATAGCTGCTAATTGGAAAGCTGTTATTATGTCTGGTGTCTGTCCATGTCTTCTCGTTCCATTGAACGCATGACATTCTCGAGAGCGGCTGAATGACACGATGGCGTAGTCTTTTTGAGCCCTTCTCTTCATGTCGATTGGTACATGCTGGTCGTTGTGTGTTTTTGAATTGTGCTGAAGCCTCTTCGGAACTGGTTGCTCGCATGGCTGGTCTTATTTTGTCAATCCTGTCAAGGATGATTCATGTGGAGTCTGTGAACTTCAGACAGCGGGCACGTTGGGCCATAATTGCCAATGCCATGCAGTTTCCTCCTTTGTATAACAACATATTTCTGATTTCTCGTGGGGTGGGCACCTTGCTGTCCGACATGAAACGCGTAGTGTGAGTGGAACCAACGCTCTATTCTGAGGTTAAGGACCGGATGGGGTGCGATCCTTCACCGACGAAATGGTGTGTTAGATTTTTTCAAGGAAAAGTGAGGGAACGACGGTTCTATCCTGCTTTCTAGCCCTCGTTCACACCTTGCCCATAGCCACCAAATGCGAAAATGAATGAAGTGCGTATCGATCCACAAAATGGGAGGAGCGTCGAATCGCGCATTCGAATCTGCGAATCCTCTTGAAAGGAATAGTGTCTATCGATCAGTCAATCGGAGATCGCAGCATCGAAACGGCGGTGCGAAAATCCTCTAGCAACGCTAATAGGGCGTGGTTTACTACGTCGATACGTATCTAAACCTTTTCGCATCCGCGTTCGCGCGTGTGGAAATTCTCCTGGTCGATACGTATCTTTTTCTTTTCGCAGATTCGAATTCGATGATTCGAAAACTGTGAACAATGCCTATAGATGAAAATTGAGCGAGGTTGGACACGTGCCGAAAGGATCTGATTAGAACGGTACGACTCACCATTGTCCTTCGCCAATGAAGTGATTCTCGATCCAAGAACTCGAGGCTAGTCATCCTCGCAAAGCCACAGCTTCAGCTTCAATCTCTCTCAGCCTTGCTGCTTCAGCTGATACTGCTTATTTTCGCTGCGTAACCTATTGGCAATGCAATTCCTATTATTTCAAAAAGGAATCTTCATGCTGAGGCTCATCTATACAATGGATTCCAAAAGAAGCGGGAACTGTTGGAGCTTAGTTCATTTCTTTTTCAACCATTGCTGATTATCTTACAAACATGCGACGGAGATTTCCTCGGCCATCAAGGACACCATCTGTTATCCTGAAACCTACTTTCTGCTTTCGTAAATGATTGTCATCAAGTATACTTGTCTTTGCCCGAAGTTGTATCAATCGCTAGCTAGTCGGGAAAATCGCGGCAGTGTGTGATATGTTATTTTTGTAGGAGTATGGGAGTAAATGAGATGTGCAATTTCTATATGATGTTCTACTGCGTAATAACTTCGTATAGCATACATTCCCACTACTGGTTGGAGTGTGCTGCACAACAACGCCAAAGGTACATTTTTATTGTTAAACTAACCTTCAGATGCAAAATTACAAATCCTATACTGAACGAACGCATTATAGCCCGAACTACCCTAAATAGGTACCAACTACTACCGTCTTCGTCCTGACTCTCTCGAGACATAACATGCAGCGGCAGAGCACCGGTTTGTTCAAATGTTTGACTCATAGCAGTATCCCTCTTCAGTTACGCCTACAAACTGCATTGTTTCCGATTCAGTGTAGTTTATAAGGTCAAATTATCCTCGTGGTATAGTTTATGCTGGCTCCTATCACATTTAGGCGACTTTCAAACTCCCACAAGGCAAGCTTATCCACTCCGATGAATACGCATTCGGAAACCTCCCGCTAATTTCTTGTTTAATGCAATAGTCGTTTTGAAAATATGATTCGCACACATTTTCTTTCTTACATTACTTGACAAGTCCTGGCTACGACTTCACACAAAGGCATCCTGCAATTAGACAGAAACTACTTTTGAGAAGATTCGCTATCCGAAGGAAATTATTTCAGAGTCGGATAAGCGAACTCCAAGATGCGGCAGAGGTGTCATTTTACTTAAAGTTCCAGCACTGGAAAGCTTTATTTCGTGATAATTTCAAGAAATGGGAACATTATCATTTCGAGTTGATGAACCTGCTCTTGCTTTGCCGATTTTTTTAAAAGCAAAGTTCGGGCTCAGAAGATTCGTATTCCAAGAAATTATTTATAAGCCTCTAAAGTGAGCTAAAGTGCAATGGCGACCAACGCAAGTTCTTGCCAGTTTACCGCATCCAAATGTCAGCTATCGCTAGGCACGAGCCTTTGACACAATACTGCACCTGTTGCGACACGCTCCGCCCACCGCTCGATATTTTGTCTGCGTCGCAATGCTGATCTGCTATGCTCTCTCTTCTCGGATTTCTCTACCGCTCTCCGCGCTCACATTATCTCTCATCTCCCTGCCGGCCTTTTGAACTTCTCCGCAACGTAGAGCAAAAGGCTCGTATTTTCCTGTATTTCACGATTTTTTTTCCTTTTTCTCCACACTGGCGGTCCCCTCCCGCCCCTACTTTCACATTTGAGTGGAATTAACCCTCATGATTCACGCTTGAATCTTCGCCTTTAAGTTCGTGCATGGCTTTGAGGTGCTCTCAAAAGGGGAATGGTCCGCGCCGTTGCCAATCGCGCACCGGTATACGCGATTCCCCCTAAAAAATCAAAGAACTAAACGTGTTGTAGTTCAAAGACATTGCGCTGGAAGAGCCATAGTGTGTTGTTAACAGAATGTCGGTTCAGTCATCTGAGCGCATAATAGAATATCATCTCTTATGCTTACTATACGTCGCAGACGCCGAGATCGGTCGGAAACGCTTTCCTTTTCACGCACCTACACACTTATTCCCAGCTATTCATACGATTCTAAACTATTACACAACACAGATTCTTCAAATAATTTTGCTGGGACATCGCTTGTAAGGCAGTTAGATGCCCTGGTTTATTTTGGTGTTGGCGTCATTTGGTGCCCTATTTGCCATTTTGGCACAAAAAATGTTTCACCCTAGTCGATGTAAACTTCTGATCACGAACCTTTTGTCCATTTTAGTTGGTGTTGGCGCCGTTATGTGCCTATTCGGTTTCGGATTAACTGGAACCAACTCCGAAATAAATGTCTTATTCGAATCAGAGTACCAGTGAGGTTATACAGCGATTTATCGAGATTTTGATGTTGCTAGTTGCATAGTGCGTCTTTATATACTTGCTCTCGCCAAATACATTCGGGGGGGGCGGGGGGCGGGCGGGCCGCTAATGCAGTAGCACATCTACTCGCGAGTAATCCCATAACGTAGCCAGCCCTAAGTATTCGGGTTTCCTCATAATCCTCCTGTCGCATTTCAATTCAATTTCAAATTCCTTCCGTCTAAGACCGTTTCATTGCGAAATACGTTGGTGTTGAAGTATGCTTCAAGTGCCTTAACAGCGTGGTTTCGGAAGCGCAAGCCCTTAACGGGTTAATCAACTAGTAATAAAAATAGGTCAGTGACTGCAATCAATGATTATGCTTTACGATCCTCAAATGAACTCTGTAGCAAGGAGGACAACAGAGAAGATCAGCGCTGTGTTTGACTCAGTCTCTGCTACTGATAGGGTACTGAGCTAGTGGACCAATCGCAACGGCAAAGACGAAACGAGCTATGAACTTCAACCTCATACTGGGCCTGCGGTCATTTTTGATGGCGCCCTTGCACCCTAAATAACATGGACGTGCCTCCGCACGATCTCTACCAAGGGTATGTAACAGATACCTGAGCGCAGCCGACTGCACCAGCAAACGTCATCAGTATCGGCAAGGGAACTGCTGCAGAGTGAAGTTTTGATGGAAACCTTATGGTCCCGGCCGACCATGAGCGGGAAGCACGCCTGATCACCTGGGGAAAACCCATTCTTGGATGGCAAAAGCAGAGTCTTCCCTAATCGGTCACCGGTGGAACTGAGTCATGAGTCCACTGCGACAACAACATGCGGCACGTCTTGATGGCTGCCTCGCAGCCTCTCATTTCCTAACCCCCCCCCCCCCCCCCCCAGAGCACCAGCTCAACCAAACCCGAACTCCGTTTTTTGAGAATATCGATCTCGTTTTATTGGATTCGCTAGGTGGCCTGGTTTGGGAACCACTTCAATGTATGAAGACAAGCATTGCTAAAGTCAGCGCGGAATAGCCCTCTTGGCTGGCTTTGGGGTTGCGAGAGAATCGTCAGAAACGTCTCAGATCCTCCTTCCTCCGAATGTACACCAGACCTCACATTGCAATGCCAACTCACCACGTTCTGAGGGAGATAGCCAGGGCCACGATACCTCATCCACCATATAGCATTGGCATCGCTCTATCGGACTATCGCCTCCCCTGCGCTTTGAATAAGCATCTGCCAGAGAAGAAAGTTAAAGATTGCGGTCACCCCAAAAACGACTTCTCCATATTCTTCAACCCCCAGTTTCCTTCATTCTGGGCTGGAAGCTTCCAAACGCCCACTAGTAAATGCACGCATATCAGTGACCATGATGGTGGTTATGCTATTAGTCAGTTGTTTCCCAGAAGAGATAAAACTTGAATAAACAAAAGTGTCGAAATTGCGACAGTATGTGAGACAACCAAGTGCTGAGACTTGAATGAAAAAAACCAAATTGTAAGGCATTTTTGCCAGTCACCTCCCACTTGTCAGAGTCCCTACCCTTGTACAGAGTTCCAAATAAAAATTCCATCTTTTTTTCCTGGGCAGATTTCAGAGACTGAGAACATAGTGAAAACATGATAGGGTTAAAGCGCGACTAGGAAGGAAGTGCGACTAGAAACGCGAAAAAACGAAATTAAAAATTCGCGTCGAATCACTAGTAAAACACATAGCTCCCTCAGCGCAAACCTTTGTCTTCCTTGACAGGAGAGGTCTTAGGCCGCTTATGCCTAGAGTCGCTGCATATCGATTTATCGGGCGTTCTCCTCCCCATCGCGTTTTCCTCCATAACCTACTTCCCTGTGCTCGCTTTCCTCTGCTAATCACAATGCTCCCTCTCCAGCGCAAACTATGACACCTGCCCTAGCGCAAAGAATGTTATCTAGATGTAAACATAGTCTTTTTGGTACTGCTGGTAGGAGGGCGTACATGTTAGTAAGGTGCCAGCAACCTCATTGCCATTCGAAAGATGTAGCAGCGCACCCACTATTGTTCGTCCTGTCGGCTCCTCGTTCCCGTTGTGACGTCACAAACAAGTGTTTTGCCTTGTGTCGGCGCCCTCGATGTCAGAAGCCCACAGTGCTGCAGCTGAAACGATATGGGAAGTGGGGTTCCGCGCCAGGCGTTGCAGACATCAGTGATTAAGTGTCATCACACTGTAACAAGTACTACTCGTCCGTGTTGTCACATTTTTGAGCATTGACAAAGGGTGGACGTATTTTTTATGCACTATTTTAGTATCCGTTCGGAGTCGTCGAGATGGGTGCTATTACTGATGTCGACGGTGTAAAACTCGGTCAAGTTGCTGGTTTGACATTTTCGGATGGAAACGTCGTGATATTCCATCGTGCTGGAAGAAATTGGGACCAAAAGTACAGCTCATTTGAAAAAAATCTGGTCCTTTTGTACATTCCTAAAGAAACAGTAACGATTTTTTTTAGCACTTTCGACCAGTATAATGTGCTCCTGGATAAAACACCTATAAATGACGATGTAATTGTGATCGCTGCTTTCAACGAGAATAAAGCCCACATGGTGAAAAAACTTGGGAAAAACAAGTAGGTATTTTGTTTTGTAGGTTTCTAACACATTTGAGGATTTTGTAAGCTCTCTATTTCAAGGTTCTATCTTCCTCATGGTATTCATTTTGGCAAAGACGGATTCCTGTACACTACGGATGTTGGCGCACATACTGTAGCGAAATGGAAAATAAATGGAAATGGTGGGACGTTTTGCATAATTTAGTCTGTTTATTCGACGATGTTTCTTCTGACTGGAATTGGGCTGGGCGGGGGAAAGAAAATCATGTTGTTCGAAGGTTTTGTGTATTATCGCTGCCTTTCACTTCTATCACTCAAGGTTGTGCCTTTCGTTCGCACTAAATGCTGTGTAACGGAAATTTTGAACTGAGTTATTCGAAACAGGTAGGTTGTATCAGCTTTCTAATGAAGTGAGCTGTTAAGACGCAGAGAGTACTGGTGCTTCAAAAATTTCTATCCAGGATATTTCAGGGGATGCTAACCGCCTGAGGGTTGA